CCCCTGAACCCCTAAACTCCTAAACCCCTAACCCTAAACCCCCAAACTCCTAAACCCTTAAACTCCTAAACCCTAAGCCCCTAAACCCCTAAACCCCTAAACCCTTAAACTCCTAAACCCTAAGCCCTAAACCCTAGCCTTCATCCCTAAATCCCTAAAATTTAGAATCTAGGGTTTAGGATTCAGGGGTTATTCGGGTTCCGGTGCGGAGCCGGGCCTATTGATGGCCCCATTTTAACTATTTCTTGCCGTTGGGGTCCCGAATGTGGTATGGCGGTCCAGGGGTTGTTTGGGGTTTAGGGTTTAGGGCCCTAAGCTCTAAGCAATGCAGCCCTTGTGGGTGCTGCGGATATTGCAACATGCTTTTCTTCCCTCCGTAGCATGCCAGCGCCCAGGGTCTTTGTAGCCTGAACTCCTGAACTCCCAACCCTAACCACTAGGATTTAAGGGCTGTGAGTTCATGGGCTGACATGCAGCTCCACTTGATGATTCCCTTTCGAAGTAGAAAATATTCCCTTCACTCAATAATACACCCCCTACCTCATAAAAAACATTCCTCCTAATGTTCAACTGTGCAAGATGTGGGTTAGGCGGAAGGGGGGGGCCTCTTCCTGGAGGGATCGAAGCCCTCTCTGCCCTGGTCCTACAGTTTCCCTAAACCCTGAACCTTACAGTTTGCCCTAAACCTCTAAATGATAGATTCTCAACCCCCAAGACAAGAAGCTCCGCCTGGAAATAGCTTTTACTTTTACTTATCTGTAGTCCTAATAACCAGCTGAAATTAAGATTTCTACCAGGGGGCCGGGAACTTAGAGAAGAATCCTAAACCCTGTAGGGTCTAGAGAGGACATGTAGCACCAAAACCCAAACCCCAAGCCCTACATCCTAAACCCCAAAAAATAAACCCTGAACCCCAAACCCTAAACCCTAAACCCCAAACCCCAAACCCTAAATCCTAACTATAGAGTTGAGAGAGGACATGTAGCACCAGCCTGTGTATTCCCAGACCCCCAAAGGGATCAAAAAATTAGATCCCCTAGAACCATATGGGAAATTATATAAGGACTATATAGGACCCTAAACCCTAAACCTTAAACCCTAAACTCTAAACCCTAAACCCTAAGGTCTAAATAGGGGATCTAATTTTTAGATCCTCCCAGGGGTCTGGGTTCCTTGGGTGGGGCAAAGCCGAGCTATGACCACTGGACCCGGCTCTGAACTTTGATTTAGGACTTAGGGTTTAGGGGTTTAGGGGTTTTAGGTATTTAGGGGTTAAGGGGTTAAGGGGTTAAGGGGTTTAGGGGTTAAGGGGTTAAGGGGTTAAGGGGATAAGGGGTTTAGTTAGGGGTTTAGGTTTTTAGGGGTTTTGGGTTTAGGATTCAGTAAACTCCTTAAATGGGTTATATAGAGGATTATACAGGGGACTACTATAGGGCTTTTTAAGGGAATGCTAGGAATCTGGACTGTAAGTCATGTGGTCCAAATGAAAAAAGGTTCATGGTTGAAAGCATGCACCTCCCGGGAAGCAGGCCGGGCCCCTGCGCACCATGACGACGATGACGATGACGGAGGAGCCTGCTTTAGACCCGCTTCAGGGTTTGGGACTATAAGTCCGCCTCGGAATTCCACGGTTTCTGCCACTCGTGTGTGATTCTCGAGGCACCCACACTCGAGCGGTTTTGTGTCGTTGCCGCCAGACATGAGACGAAGAGAAACTCGTGGATGCGCTCATCAGAATAGCAGAGAGCGCTTACCGCCTGACAGGTTACGGACATAGCAACACGACCTTACATTTCTGCGGACGTCTCCACTTGCGCAGCCGGTGACAAGCTCGAAGTGCCACCCAGCCCGACCTCTCCTCCCGAGCTCCTCCCCGAAACGCAGCTGGAGCTCGGGCACCTCGGAGAGTGCGGCGACCTCGAAAACTGCCTCTGCCAGCTAGCCCCTTCACTTAAGGCGCGAAAAGTCCCCCCCGGCATCTGCTCCAAAGCCGTTCCTGCTTGGCAGGCCTTCTACCACGTCGTGGAGCAGGCGCGCCGTGAGGAGACGTGGAAGGAGAAGCCGCCCACCGCGAAGGCCACCAGCTTGAAGTCGAACAGATCGCCTGCCAGAACTTGCAGGAGCTGCGCAACCGCGTGGCCCGCCTCCTTGCAAGGCCCCACACACGCTGTGGGACCTGACCACGCGCATGGCCCGGCTGCTGGAGACCATCCTCATGGAGGCCTGAAAGAATGCCCGAGGCCATGCCTCTGAAGGAGGCGCGGCGCCTCTACCCGAGGCCGTTGGGCGAGCGCTGCTCCCTCTGAAGCCCGACTCGAATGCCATTTCCCGTCTCATCAACCTGGACTGGGTCATGGCAATGCAGGCCGGGCTGGAACAGAGTGACGAAGCGTCTGATTGACTTGCTGCACGTTCCAGACCGGGCAAGCGCAAGTGGCCAGCAAAACTCCGGACCCCCAAGAAGAAGGCGCGCGACCCAGGATCAAGCGTGCAGGGTTTAGGGTATACGGGCTTTGCAAGCGCGGGTACCCGCGGGACCAGGCATGGTCCCAATTGAGAACAGGTTCATGCTTGTGGTGCCACATACGTGCTAGTTGTACCATTCCCGTGGAAGGCATCGTTACTGATCGGGGCAGCAAGTCGCTAAAGTAGCGAGGAGCGCATAGGCCGCCGCCGCGTTGCTGGGCGGCGCTTAGGCCGCAGTTTAGGGTTTAGGGTTTAGGTTTTAGGGCATCTTGTGCAGGCAGAGACACTGCCCAAACTTGACATGGCTTTGCAACAACGATGTGCGCATGAAGGCTCCAAAGGCTACGCCTATAGTCATGAAACGGGACACCATAAACCGACATCACGAGCTATAGCCTAAACTCCCTAGAGGGGTTATATTGGGGACTATTATAATGCGTATGAGGGGGATACTAGGAGTTTAGACTATGGCTCACCTTAGCCGGAGACTGAGACATAGAGTCCGCCGAACGAAGCCTGTAGACTTGCGAAGGTGTTGAGCGCTAAGGGTCCAAGTACCCGGATATCAGAATGTATGTACGTAACTTATCAATTTAGTAGGGTTTAGGGTTTAGGATCATAGCATTTGGAACCTTAAGTTGTTCTTTGGGAGCTCAGACCCTTAGGGACACCTACCCTGAATCCACAACCAGATAGCGTCCCTCTTTTCTAAACCCTACACGCTACGTCCTAAATCCCCTGAACCTTAAACCTTAGCCCCCGACCCTAAAAATCCCCTGAATCCGAAACCCTAAACTTAACCTAAATCCCCTGAACCCTAAACCCTAAATCCCCTGAACCCTAAACCCGAAACCTAGCCGGGGGGAACTTGGACCGCTATGAGCCTATCATGGCAATCTGTCGCAAAGGCCAGGAAAGGGTTATAAAAGGGTTTAGGGTTTAAGGGTTTAGGGTTTTGAGTTATAGCGGGTTTCCCAAAATTAGGGGTAATAGAGCTTATAATAGTATAGTTTTTTGGGCTTTACAGTGGGGTTCCCTCATTTAGGGAAACTACCATTTCTAGGTTGGATTCTGCTACAACTGCAGAACCCTAAGCCCTGAACCCCAAATCCTAAACCCTAAACCGCGCGCGTCTATTTCATATAAGGCGCGCGCTAAAGGTTGAATTTCTATTTGGAGAATCAAGAGCGACCAAGATTTATCCAAGGCCTAAAACCTAAACTCTGAACTCCGAACCTTCCCCCAAGCTGGGTGGTTGCAGGGTTTAGGGAGATTTGGATGTATACTTAAGCCATTACACCCCACATGGGGTGGCAGATGAACTTATTCGCTTTTGATGTGTATTTGTGGTCAGTATCGATTAACCAGCATCACGTCAAATAGTGTTCCAACGGTATCCAAGTAAAGGATAAGAGTCCGTTGTCCTCTCAATCAGAGTCTTCTACTGAGTTTTGTTACATTTTCTAATGGGAGCTCCCCTTCAGACGCTCCTTGCTGGTGGCTTCCCCATCTTTCTTATGGAGCTGCTGCCTATATGAGGTTTGAGGGTTGAGGTATCAAGTCTCCCACCAACCTACGAGTAGATGTAAGCCCATGTATAATGATATTACATTGGGAATTGTCAGAAATATTCTTTATTGTGGGGCGGGATTTGTAACGGGGAGTTCCTCTCGTTGGAAGGTTGTCAAAGTTAAGGTCCCTGTCCGCACGCTGTGCATGCACCTTACACATGTTGGGGATATTCAAACATTGGGCTCCCTAAGAGGGGCCGTAGTGTCATCTACTGCTAGCATTCGAGACTTTGCAGACGATTCAAGCTACGTGTTCATGGGCCGCATACAGCGCACAGCTGTGTGCTATGGAATGTCAGGGTGCGAACTTAAAACGAACCCTAAACCCTAAACCCTAAGCCGTAAACCCTAGACCACGCATCGGAAGATGTTCTAATTGAGAAGAACCAGCTGTAACGCCCCACCTCCCCGCCCTCAACTCTAGAGAATCATGAGGGGATTTTAGGGGGTTCAGGGTTGAGGGTCTAGGGATTTAGGGTTTACGGATTTAGGGTTTAGGGATTTAGGGTTTAGAGTTTAGGGCTTAAGGTTTAGAGTTTAGGGTTTAGGGTTAACTACCGCAAACCCTAAGATTAGGGACCTTCTTATTCTATTGTGGTGGTGGCGGGGTCCCTATTGTAGGGGTTCGGGTAGCTAAAGCTCACTTACCAAGGAAAAAGTGCACGGCGCCAGAGTAATATGAGAATCCTGGGTAATTCGCCCGCTTGGGAGGGATTTTTGAGGTTTAGGACTTAAGGTTTAAGTGTTTAGGCTTTAAGGCTTTAGGGTTTTAGGGTTCAGGGTTTAGCGTTATTTTGTGTTCAGGTTTTAGGGTTGGTTGGGGCTTACTTTTAAGTGGAAGAAGCACACAGCCGCACGTTAAGTTGTAGAGAATCTCTGGGCCACAGACTGGGTCAGCGCCTGGAAATTTGTTTTGCATGCTTTTTGCATTTGCTGTTTGCATTTTTTGTGTTGCGCATTTTTTTTTGCATTTGCTGTTTGCAATTTTTTGTGGTTGCTGCCCTGTTTGAATTTAGCGTTGCATTTTTTTTGCATCATTTTAGGCTGCGGCGGCCGAGGCCCGGCAAAATGCGAAAAGAAGCCACACCTAAATCCCGAGAACGTCCAAAATGCAAAAAAAAGCGAAAGCCCGGAAGCAGCGGCAAAACAACATGCAGAAATGCAAAGTTTACCTTCGCTGCCGAAACCATACAAAATCTGAAAAACTTGGCCGTTTCCTGCAGCATTTGCATTTGTTTTGCATTTTTTGGCTGGGTGTGGCTTCTTTTCGCATTTTGCCGGGCCTCGGCCGCCGCAGCCTAAAATGATGCAAAAAAAATGCAACGCTAAATTCAAACAGGGCAGCAACCACAAAAAACATGCAAACAGCAAATGCAAAAAAAAATGCGCAACACAAAAAAATACAAACAGCAAATGCAAAAAATGCAACACACAAAAAATGCTAACAGCAAATGCAAAAACATGCAAAATACATAGTGCACATTGGGGTTGGTAATGTTTTGGGGTGGACCAGGCGTAGCCCGCTAAGATTCTTATAAGTTTAGTTTAGAAATGTGTTGCACTGGAGATGGGTAGATCCGGGCCAGGATTCAAATAGCTTCTCGTGAGCTATAACCGGGATAATGAGATCGGCCCGAAATCTTAACCTCAACAACAAGCCCTTAATCCGAAATCCTAAACCTTAGTTCCATGCCGTAACCGTCTGGTTGTTACATGGTGCTCGTCAAAAGTACCCTAAATACTATGGGCCGTTTGGCAGAAGCAACCCTAAACATGGGCCGCAGTTTTGACAACCTTCTAGATAATTGGAGAGACCTGGAACCTTTTTAAACAGGAGTGAGTTGGATTCCAGAAAATGGTCTATGTCAAAGCATTCTGCTGCGCGCAGGTAGACAAAAAAGTGCACAAAAATTCCTGAGGGATCACCGAACGGCTTCAAACCCAGATCTCTTACTGGAAGCTAAATCATTTTTTTTTTTTTTTTTTT